AAAACTTACATCAGTTTGTTTCTGTTTGGCTAAAACTCACATCAATTTGTTTCTGTTTGACTAAAACTTACATCAGTTTGTTTCTGTTTGGCTAAAACTTACATCAGTTTGTTTCTGTTTGGCTAAAACTCACGTCAATTTGTTTCTGTTTGACTAAACTTACATCAGTTTGTTTCTGTTTGACGAAAACTTACATCAGTTTGTTTCTGTTTGACAAAAACTTACATCAGTTTGTTTCTGTTTGACTAAAACTTACATCAGTTTGTTTCTGTTTGACTAGTGTTTTTCCTATATAATAAAGGTAAAAACATCATGGTTTCTTATCCCACAGAAGGAACAAACATTTTCCAGAACCAAATCGAAGAGATGACAATCTTATTCTCGACTGAAGGATACTAAATTCACATTTCGTTAGTTTGTTTGAAGTTAAGCATAAAGCTACACAAAGGGCTATCTGTGCTATGCCCATCACGGGTATCGAAACCAGTTTCTAGTGTTGTAAGTCCGCAGACATTCCGCTGTGCCAATGGGGGGACATTTCGTTAGTCGTAGTTTATTTTTTAGAAAAATTATAAAGGGCAATACCTCCTGACTATATAGCCAAAAAATAGTGTTAATGTTTAAAAAAAAGGAATAATAACAGAGTAATCTTCTTTTTTCCACAGAAAGAAAAAGGAAGCTAAAATTATTTCCAATGAACTTTTATTTCTTTTTCTATCTTTAAGTTTACCAGCCTGTCTTTGTTACACATTGATGCCAGTGTGAGTGCCTGTTTTGCACTAGTGTGAAAGATATCATACAGCCAGTAAAGATGTTTCTATTTATGGGGATGGCGCAGTCAAACTGATCGAAATCATACGTTTCCTTCTGACAGAAAAATCGAGTGATTTTCTTTTCTTTGGTGAATATGGATGGGTTACGTACCAAATTTGTACTTGTTCCACACGTGTGAAGTGTGTTGTTAGCTGTGGTAAGACATCTGGTGGTTTCAGAACAAAGTGTTGCTTTTCCTTCTGATCCAGGCCACCTGCAACAAGGATGCATAAGCTATATTGGTGATTGAAGCCGTGGGCAAAGAACAACAACAAAAAACAGATTGCATTTCAACAAAAAGAACTGAGTAGTCTTCATGCACCAAAAAAATCCAAAGTGCTCTTAAAAATCAAAAACTGTGCAAATATGCTAAAACAGTATATTTTTGTAAAACAAAGAATTGGAGTATGTGATAGTCAGAGAACACTGAAAACACAAAATACCTTTGCAAACAATTTCTGACCTTTAAAAACGCGATTCAGAAGTGCAGTTTATTGATACATGAATTAATTGTTTGTTTGTTTGTAGTTAAGCGCAAAGCTACACAAAGGGCTATCTGTGCTCTGCCCACCACGGGTATAGAAACCCGGTTTCTAGCGTTGTTAGTCCGCAGACATGCCGCAGTGCCACTAGGGGGCTCACATGAATTAAAGATAAATTTTGTGAAATTATGATGAAACATACTTATATGTTAAGATACACTCAAACGTGGCTACAAATAAGTACTAACTAAGTAAGCAAAAATAGGCCTAATTAAATCTGTTAGTTTTATTTTATGAATTAGAAATAGTATTTTATTAATAATTTCTCCTTATATAGCAAGAGAATGAAGTTTTGTGTTTTTCTCTTCTTAGAGATGTGTTAGGATATGTTTCTTCAATAATTTCTTTTATGAGATATGCATGTTAATAGTAATTTAAGTTAATAAACAAGCAAAAAATGCAAGTGAATTCGAAATTTCAACTTCAATGGTTAGAGACGTTAGAGACGTCTAGGATTCTACTATAATCAGAAAGAAGCCAGCCAGCAACACCCAACGTCACAATGGCTTTATGTGAATCATTGACACGAATAAAGGTAAAGACTGTAACGTGCTCACAGCTGGAAGTATGGAACGTATTCAGTGGTCTCGAAACTTGGACCCTTTCATCAGCAACTCATGACGCTAACTAATGCGCCACGCTCAATCTGCTGACCAGTAGGCCACGTTCAATAAATGCATTTGAAATGAAATTTAATCGAACATAAAGAATTAACTTTATATATTTTGTTTTTCTCTAATTAATGAATGATTTATTCTATTTTTAAAGTGTATTTTGTACTAGTACCTGTCCAAAGCCCTACAAAAAATCTCTAAAGAAAATTCATCCCATCCGTCTATCCATTCTGTTTGCGTTGCTGAGTCTCGAAGCTTTGAAGATGCGGGAATGTACCTGTTGTTAGGCTTAGAAGAAACCGTTGATTCGACTTCTTTTAGAGAAAGGTTTGATGCACAGTTTTTTTCCAAACAATCAGTTTTACTACTATAATCATCAACGGGATTTGGACTCCAGATAGTTACAGTAGGATTAGGTGGACTTCTCAAAACCTCAATTATGATTGGTTCTTTCGTTACACAGAACGTTTCTAGCGCCTCCTCAGAAGTGGCTGTTGTAATATCTTTCCCGTTTACCTGAAATGAAATAAAATTTAAAAATTTAATGCCAATCTTTAAAATAACGTACTTCCTAAAATATGTAAAGACTTTCAAATCTTTTTTAACTTTTATTATTTTATAATTGCTAATTTTTCTGTCTCTCTCTTTAAGTGGTCCCCCAGTGGGACAGTGGTAAGTCTTCGGATTTACAATGCTGAAATCGGGGGTTCGATTCCAGCCGTTGTACGCAGTAGGTAGCCCGATGTGGCTTTGCTATAAGAAAACACACACACACACTCTAAGAGACTCCCCGTGTCACAGCGGTATCTCTGCGGATTTACAACGCTAGAAACCGGGTTTCGATACCCGTGGTGGGCAGAACAGTGTGCAGCTTTGTGCTTAGCTACAAACAATCAAATAAACAAACTCTCAAAGTAAATGTTTATATCGGTATATGTATTATGTAAGTTTGCTCATTATTAATGGAGTGTGTGTCTTGGTTAATTTGTACTTCTGAAAATTTATGGAAATTTAGCCAACTTGGTTACATAATGTGTTTTATATTCATACGTTGGCTTTTATTTTAATACAGTAAGATCAATATGTTAACAAGGTAATTTCACGATGTTATTAACTTCTCCAGTACACTAGAGCGACATGGTGCGTTTAATGTATTTAATTGTGTCTGTCCGTCATGACTGCATATATCAAAGCTATATATTTTATATATAACGGATTGTAATAAAAGTTTTTTCAGTGGTGAAATATTACGTGACAAATAATTGTTGGCATGTTTGAGCAATAAAGATCAAAGTGAAGGTAAATGCCTTTCGTTGCAATCTGCTTTCCGGTAATATAACTATATTGCAGATATTTTTAGAAAAGAAGATTTGAAAAAGTTGATTAGATGTGATATATCTATTGTGAAACAAAAGAATAAATTCCTCTACGAAATGAAAATATGGCGGCCAATCTTTCATTGTGTTACTTTTTGTTGTCGTGCGTTTAATCAGTTTTGAATTTAACGAAAAAAAAAGTTAATAACGTAAAATAAGACTAGAACAAACCATTTATACTTTGACCTTAACAGTGCTTACAAACTGATAAAGTGCAACTGAACAGCCAGTTATGCGGTCTTTTCATCAAACCTCGTAATAGGCTTAATTTCAGGTGCGTTTCGATCTTTCATCTATGTTAATACCACGTTCACCTAACTTTGTCATTGAACACCACGCAACTTAATTAAGTAAAATAACATCAGTTTGGATTGAGTCTGATTGTTGTACATTATGATGGGTCGCGTCGTGTCTTTGTAATGTCTAACCAGTCAGAGTTGTTTGTGTGACTCATTTATCAGAATCTTGAAGTACAAACATCAGCGTCAGGGTGTTTCCTTTCTCTCTAAACATCCAGTTCTTACACCAGAATTCTCTGGGAATGTTTTCCTTTTCTGTCAAGAGAAAGTCATCGTTTCAATCAATCAATCATGCCTAACCTTGCTGGAAATAGAGTTGAGGAAATTTCTCTATGCTTAGACACGAGTGGGTGAATAGAAAACTAAGCTGCTTATCTTTTATTAAAGATTTGTTTGGGGGCCTGAGAAAGGTTTTCCTGTAGCAGGGCTACAACGGCCATTTCTTCCAAAGCGTTCCTTTTATCAGAGCGTAACCTAATATCACTATGTTAAAACTATAATGTAGTAGTCGTAGGTGGCTGACAAAAAAATAATGTTTTGTTCCAAACAAATTGATGATATTGCATGTTTACTTACTACCGTCTTTACTGTAGGCTGGTTGATTTACTTCCGTTCTTTGGTAGACTATAATGCCTACATGAAAAAAATACAATTACCATTTTGAAACACAACAGGTAGCTTAGATCCCGCTGCGCTAGAATTAGATCCAGCCTAAATGTGTTTGTTTTATGAAGTTATCGACACTAAAGTAGCGTGTAACTTTCAGTAAAGTCTTCATTAACTAGACGGTTTATTACAGTGTTTCAGACAGGTTTGCATACGTTGAAGGTGATTAATCACCAAGAGAGGTGAGTAGTATATTTCCACAGTTAGAACTCTCTAACACTATCTTCACTATGAACATACACTGCTAGACAAAATCGTTGCTTCCATCGTCGTATTGTGGAAGCATGCTGTGAAAATGTTGTCGCCTTCCGTTTTCCTTACATCGACTCGGTCCTGAAGACTAAATGATTAATTGTTCCATCTGACAACCTGCTATAACATGCTGCTATCATTCTATCATATAAGAAGTTTTATATCCAGAAAGTGAAATACACTGACAAGGACCTCGTTCATCGGTCACTCATTGTACTTTAAATTGTACTAAATCTGCAGACTTAAGAACAAAAAACAACTCATTTTTTATCAAAAATATATTGCATTTTAGTCCTAGTATAAAAATTTCATAGCTCTTCATAAAGCACTACAAGTAAACTTAATATATTTTTATACAATTTCGTAGCTCTTTATAAACCACGATGAATAAAGAATGGAATGTTTATATAATTTCGAACTTTTTATGGAGTGCGATAAATAAACATAATATCCGTGACGTTTCTCGTTCAAGTAACTGGATAAGATTCAAATCTGTGGCAAGCACGTGAACCTCGGAACTTCAGAAACAGGAGAGTAAGTTTGTTGGGCTCACAATATCAACAAAATGAGTTTAAAGTTGAACTTGAGATACAACAATAATGTGGTCCAACCCTGCTGTGGCTTTTAAATGTGTATCCTATTTTCGTACTCAGTGGCAAGTCTGAAGATTATAACGATAAATATTGGGTTTCGATAATCGCGATGGGCCCATTGTGTAGCTTTGCGCTTAACAACAAATATCCTAATGATCGAGATTCCATTTCAAAAACTTCCAGTTCCAGGAGAGAATATATATTCGACGGACCGTCTTTCCAGTTACGTATAATGTCAGCCAACATCCATAATACTTGCTAGAAGAAACAACACTTATAGCACAATAGTTCATAATATGATACAATATCGTTAGAGGTTTATGTAGGAACATTTATACTATACCAATATAGAAGACTGTCCCTCGTGTTTTTACTATATGTAGCACTTACACGTACTAATAATGGCTGGAGACGGCTTGAATGGATAATGAAGAAAAACTTTAATATAAGTTTAACATCACAGCAAATGTACAACGTTTCGACAAGGTTTTGTCATCACGTACTGTTATGCTACTTACTCCCTGTAGTATGTATCCGACAAATGGGTACAAGTAAGTTACTCGTGCTGTTATCTCCTGTAGTAAATATACACAATAAATGAGTAGAAGCGCGTTTCCCGTGCTGTTACTCTCTGTAGTACGCAAACGATTAATGTGTAGAATAATGCCCCCTGCACTGTTATTCCATGTAATATGTACACAGTAAATACGGTAGAATTATATTTGTTACCATGATGTTACCTCCTGTACTAAATACACAATAAATAGGTAGAAGTATGTTTGTTACCCATGATGTTCTTCTTGTAGTAAGTACACAATAAATAGGTAGAAGTATGTTTGTTACGCATGATGTTACCTCCTGTAACTATTCTACCTATTTATTGTGTACTTACTACAGGAGGTAACATCATGCGTAACAAACATACTTCTACCTATTTATTGTGTATTTAGTACAGGAGGTAACATCATGGGTAACAAACATACTTCTACCTATTTATTGTGTATTTAGTATCATGATGTTCTTCTTGTAGTAAGTACACAATAAATAGGTAGAAGTATGTTTGTTACGCATGATGTTACCTCCTGTAGTAAGTACGCAATAAATAGGTAGAATAGTGTATCATGATGTTCTTCTTGTAGTAAGTACACAATAAATAGGCTGTCGTTTGTTGTAGAGCAAAAACACACTGGGCTATCTGTTGTGGCAACCACGGGGAATCGAACCCAGATTTTAGCGTTCTATGTCCGTAGAATTCCCGCGTCACAAGGCGGGTGCAGGACCATGGAAAATGATTGAATAATTAAGATATGTGTCATCGCCTTCTGCTCTCCAGCCCCTGTAGCTTACATACATAACGGTTACCGATCTCTAAAAAACGCGAATTACAAGGGAGGATCTCACGAAATTTCCCTTAATGCCACATACCGAAAATACTTTGCACCCCACTCTTTAAAGCAACAGTTTTCTAAGTTTCTTAATTTCTGAGTCACTGCTCGAAAATAGAACCGAAACAGTTCTGAAGCTTCGTCGTTCTTTTAATCTCAATATTTTATTACTGTTGAATCATATAAACTCCGGAACAAGTATTATTAAAAACTACTGATTCTCGAATTTTAGAGTTAAATTGTTCTAGCTATTCGAACAAGGAATGAATGAAATTTTAAGTAGGCTTAGTGAACGGCAATGATTTCAATCGAATATTTTTCAACAAGAAAAGTTAAACTTAAATCGTATTCTGCATGTAAGCGACAGTACAGACTGTCGGCGCGTGCCTTCTGGTGCCATCCACGTGACAGGCCTTATCAGTTTCACAAGATAGAAGCGTAAGGCTTGTCTCGCCAGCGGGACGACACACCCTCTAGTACTGATGGCATCTTGCCGATAAAGGAGATTTGTAATGGTTTTTCAGTTTGAAAGAAGTTAGCAGTCTTCTCTGCTTAAGAACAGATTTGTTTTTCTAGATAATTTGGGCCTAAAGTCACTGGCAAATTCTGAACTTTCTTCACGGAGCTTCTCCAACACCTGTAGACTGTTTTCAACAACATCTTGAAATACTTGTTCTCCTCAACTCATACATCTTGTCAAGACCCTGTACAAAATCATCAAAAGGAACAAGAATGCCAGAGCCTAAAAGTCATTGTAACTTAAATAAAATAATACACCTACTTATATAGAGTGTTTTAGTAGACAAATTTACTGAATTACGTGTTTGAAAACCAATAGTAGTTTTAGTTACTCTTTTTGTAGCGCCATCTATTGAGCATTTGTAAAAATGTAAATATTCAAAGAATTGTTTTGAAATTTTGATTGTGTTTGTTTTTAAGCTCAAA